GCGGTGACCTAGGACACTGTGTCCACACTAGATGCTAGTGTTACACGGCCATATTGTTCTTGGGGCTTAGCAAGTTACACCGCACTTGTTAGCTGGAACACCAGAGACTGCAACATATGGACAAATTTCTGGAGAAAGCTGTGTGTAAAAATGTCTGATCACTTGTGGGACATCAGATTATTCTGTATTCTGACATCTTGCAAATATCATAATGCTGTGCTTTGGTGGAAAAAACAAAAAAACAGTGGATCCCCTGCAATCTCTGCTGTCATGCCAAAAGACAAAGCTGATTTGTCTTGTACTGACCAAGCCTGACTTGGATCATCCCAGAACATTCACAGAGATGGTAAACATGAAAGAAAGAAAGTGAAGTTCCAAAGACGGCATTTTACATGAGTGAAAGGAGAGAAAAGAGAAGCAGAGTGTCAGACAAAACAATAGGAAGAGAGGCCAGTCTGGCACAGGCCGAGTGCATGTCTGTGCATGTTTGGAGGTCTGAATCACCTGACAACCGCCAGGTCTGGTTTCACAAACCCCTGTCGGGTGGTTGCACCTCGCTGCACAGCTGTCAGCGCCCCCACTCCACCCCACCCCCCACCCATCCCCACATGCAGCCCTCAGCTCACACAGGAGCACATGTAGGAGAGCAGGTGTTCAGTTCAGTTCAGTGTGGTGATGCTTTGATGTGGACAAGGGAAGATCCCAACTTAAACTTTATCATTTCCTTTTGATATCCTATAACACAATCACCTTATTGATAATGGTATTATGAATGAAGACAATGTCACATTTCCCCGAGTGGACATTTTTCTCTGAGCCATATGAATATGTGATATACACTGTGGGAAGTTCCAAAGGAACACGTGTATCAGAAACTTAAAACAAATTAACTGTACTGAGTAGCAAGTAAGATTTTGTCATTTTAGGGATGCCAAATGTCTTTGGCACTCATAGCAAAATATCATCTGTGGACATACTCTTCCCCTACAGCATACACACTTCCTTTGTCGTATCATCAGCACTGAGAGACCCTTGTCTGCAGAGCACTGATAAGAGCCTGGTAGAAGCATACACACCCTCTTAAACTCAGCCCCTTCTCTGCCACTAACAAAAACATCTATTAACAACCACAGGGCAAGACAAACAAAAGCAACAGAAAGTGTAAGAAAAAGAAAGAGAGGAGGACTCACTCTGACTACGTAATTAAATCTCCTCGTGTCCTTGATGGCGCTGCAGAAATCTAAGCGGTTGAAGGCCTCTCCCAGTGTACAATATCCGTGGCGCTGGGAGAATTTAATTATCAGGGTATTAGATTGCGATCCTCAGCTGGTATATTGGGTTTTCTCAGCATGTTTACATTAGCAAGGATGATGTGAAAAGTTGATGTGAAACTAAATGAGTTGGTCTGTTACCTCCTTGGTGCTTCCTTTATGAACATAAATCCACTTTTCCCTGTGGAAATCTGTGAGAAAACAACATTTATATTGGAGGTCAGTTCTCGTTAAACAGCTCATGAGCACCGTGACAAAACAGACACACACCCATCACAAACACGATACAATTTCAGGCTCAGCATAGTTACTGGAATCTAGTTAATGAATGATGGAAAATTAATCACAAAAATATTATTAGAAAATGTTCTCTTTAATGTGACAGGCATCCTCTTGCGCTAACATTTCTGATCTGGAACCTAACTATCATATATTATTACATGATTTATACCCTCACACACACAAACTAATAAAAACAATGTCATCCTCTGCATATTAATATTAAAAAAAATCAGACAGTGTGGTTCTTTCACTGACTCACAGGGGACCTTGGTGTTGTTGTTCGTTTGGTCTTTTTTCCTCTTCTTGGCAGCCATGTCATAGCTGAGAGAGAGCAGCAGGTTCTCCTTGCTGAAGCACTCCTCCTGCTCTTCCTTGCAGAAGCTGCAAAAACACAAGGATACATATTTCATTGGACACATGTTTTCACCATTTTACCTCAGTATATGAGTTAGACATTATATGCAGTACTAGTTATGTGTTTCAATAACATTTGATTCTGTACAGAGACTCTAACTGGCTCTTGCATCCAAACATACCCAATATATTTCTTAATGTTTTTGCTATGCATGTTGCTGTTACCTTAGGCTTTTCGTGCTAGATGTGCGTGCAGTTATAATGGAAAGAGGTACAGACTGAGCAGAGCTTTGTTAATCCACGCATGTGTAGCCAGGTTATTAATAGCTCAGTGATTAGACTTGGCCCCAGAAAAAACAAAGGCACTGTGATGAGATGGAAACATCACGGCGCAGCAGACCTACGTCTGTCTTGCACCGTGTCCGTGTCTGTGTCTGTGTCTGTCTGTGATGCTTTATACTCTCTTCAATCTCCCCCTCCACTTCCTCCTAACTAAACGTGGTGGCGCATTTAAGAGTGATGCAATTTCAACAAGCCTAGATTAAGACTTGCTAAATGACCAACCTGTCCCCGGAAACATTATTGTATTTGTCGTCTGTTGTTGTCCTTTTCCATCCCTCCTCGGTTTTTACCCAACTCTGACCCGGTGACCTCCAGTCCTGTCCGAGGAAAGGCATCCTGGCTCGATGATGCTGGGTTAAGTAAATCTAAAAAAGTTTACCGGGAAATAGTACCCGCTTAAATTAAAGTGTATCCCTTCTTCTAAGCCCTCAGTTCAGGACGTTTTTCTAGCCTAGTGTTGACATTGCGCAGCTCTCTTATATCCTCCAACTCAGAACCCGGAAACACATGAGATCCGCCCACTTTGGAAACTTCTATGCAACACGTGGCTTTGTTTATCAACTCAGGCGTTGCAAAACTTCTTGGAGGTGACTAGCAGGAGGTAACGGGAGCTTTCGTGTCATGAAAAGACAAATAGTGGAAGCCAAGGACATTTATTCTGAAGATTTTTGTAACGCAATGAAGCTTAGGAAAACACGATGCAATGTTAAACAGCTTGGGGGACAGTTGTGAAACGGGGGGACGTACATGTATACTCATTTCCTATATTCAAGCCAAAAATGTTAATGAACATCTTTTATTTGTAACCACATTTTTTTACATTGTGGTGTCGATCGGTTTACATACGTAAAGGTTCTGAATTCACCTTTGTCATTTGCTGTGACTTGGGATTCGGTGATGAGGAACAATCTTTTTTTTTACACACATCACTTCCTTATCAAATTGCAACCTACTTCTGACTTTGTTACAGGCCCCACCCAGAACCCACAGTCCTCTGAATTGTGTACCTCACTACAGTTTTTATAGGCTAATGCAATGATCCTGAAAGAAGCAGTCACTGGTGAGGAAGTGTTTTGCCCAAGCTTATCAGTACTGGCTTTATGTCTCTGTAAATATGAAAGGAAAAACATTACAGCCTGCCAGTATTTGTAAGGTCCCCTGATTTTTAGTCACTATTATTATAAATAAATTAGGTTGTCCTTTGGATTCCTCCAGAGTGGGTCGCATTGTGGGTTGTGTGGGAGTGTACTGTACGTACGTGTGCATGTGTGTGTTGACAAAAGGGGTTTACTATTGCATTTCAGTTCTCAAATCCATGAAGACCATATAGATCATGGACCCTGATCCATAAAGATTGGATAAGGATATTTTGTTTATTTTAGATCATGCCATTAAACAACATTACTTAAAGGCATGAGATTTACACACTTATCTGTGAGGCTTTTTGGAATCAAGCCCCCTGTTTATTATGGCTTTAATAGCCTCACTTGTGTCATTGAACCTTGTGCTTACCTATGCAGTTATTAGGAATCTCATTCCAAAGGGACGTGTTTCTATGCCCACTGTTGTAGTGAAGGTCAGGAGCGGTTGTATATTGGATTTGTCATCAGCATAAAGTAAGAATGATAACAAAGGGATCAATGAAGAAGTGTGTTTAAGGCACATCCCAGTCTGATCATACAGTATGTGTCATGTGACCGTTGGTGTAAATGGCTTAGGTCCACCTCCTAAACATCCTGCAACATGACAAATATTGTTTGTGTATACATTCTCAGCAAAATGCTGCAGCAGTAGGTGTATGTGGAACAGTCATCTGATGTTTATGTTTATGTCTGTCTGTATTGAGGTAATTAGTGTATGTTTATGTCTGTCTGTATTGAGGTAGTGAGATGAGGGAGAAAGAAAGACAGAGGATTTTCTGGGACCTCATAACTCATGACACATTATACAATCTGCAAAACACTCAGCAGCAACACATGGTGCATATAACAAGTGTACAGCTTTTTCCGAGAACCAGCAGGACAGTGTTTCAGCTGATCTAGTGTTTATGTTGGGTCACATCCTGTGACTGTAGCAGGACCAGGGTTGTTGATGTGGCTGCTTTGGTTTTTGTGCAACCAACTCATCACTATGTATCAACATTATTGAATTAAAAATTAATTATTGAATTAATTCTTCTCTCAAGTTTTACTGCACTGCTCATTACAGATTCTGTGCTGCTGAAACCTTTGAAACAGGTGCATCAGTGGTTTCATGTCTGAGGTTTTAATATAAAACTCTGATATACATATGTAAAAGGTCAAGGAGCTCTGCACAGGCTCTGCATATAATAAAGTCTGTCACAGGACAACATCTGAAAGCACATGAGGCAGATGTGTTTTTACTAGGCGTACTGGTCTTAACCTACAATTTCAACCACTGCAGAAGTGACACATGCAGAAATAGTTCAATAGTTCCTCATATTGAGCTGCAGTGGTGTGTGCATAAAGTGGAACTTCATGGCTAAACAATGTATGAGTGCACATGCAGGGAGTATAAAGCAATGTGTATGGTGTTGTGAGTCCCCAAAGTCTAATTAAATCTATTTGTAGAGAAAGCCAGACTACAGGATTACATGGAAAGTCCCAGCAAGTGCTGGGTCAGTTGGTGACTGACTGACTGACTGAGAAGAAAACTATGATGTAAGATTGTAAGGAGTTTTGGTTTACTTTATTCAGTGAATCACAAACAGTGATGAACCTGAAATGTGCTCTGTTTAGAGTGAGTTTACACAGCTGACAAGAAAAGGTAAGACATTACTGGATGGCAGTGTCATTCCACCATTTCGGTCCAGACTGGAATATCTCACAACTGATGGAAGGATTGCCATGGAGGTTTGTACAGATATTACAGTCCCCTGAGGAGGAAACCTGCTGACTTTTATGCTGCCCTTGTAAAAATGTTTTAGGCTATATATAAAGTCTCTTGTATCTCAATATCTACCAAAAGGATAGCCACAAAAGTAGATTCCCATGATGATGTGTCCCAGTGATTTTTGGAGTTCCCACCAGCCTCAAGTGTATGATGCATTCTAAATGGCAAATGTTATCATGCTAACATGTTAAACTAAGATGGTGTGCCTTGTAAACATCACATTTGCGTAAACATCACTAATCTGCTAAACAGTATGTTAGCATATTGATTTAGCTTAAAGCATTGCTGCGCCAAAGTCTCCCATTACCCATGGTCCTACAGTATGTTTTAACCTAGTGTCAAAAATATTCACATTAAGGTGAAAAGATTTCAACATATAAATCACTCCAATAGCGACTGTGAAGGTACATCACGCCATGTAAATGTTGGGACACGGGTGCCATTTTTGGTGCTACATGTTGTATTTACCTGCATACATTCGTGTTCTGTTTGGCTAAAAAGTTGCTTAATTCATTTAGATCTCATTTTACTGACTGTGGTAATTCAGGGTGGATAACCTTAGCTGACTATAGCTAACTCGGAGCGGACCTGAAGATCCCATCGACATGAGCAACAGGCTGAAAAATGACTCTCCACACTGATCTGAGCTCTCTGCTTAGGAGCTAACTCCAGCTAGCAGCTGTTGGCAGATGACACAAAAACTGCAGATGACTCAAGTTCTGTCTTGTCTGTGCTCAAACTGAACAGTGAAGTGGATGTTCGGATGTAGCTAAAGCATCCACTACTGTATGCATGATACATTTTTTAAAACTAACTTATGACTGATAATGCACATGATGGTCCAAACATGGCACATTTACCCAAAATTCAACACAGTATGACATCAACTTCACATTCTCTATACATATGCCAGGATTTTTGATACACATTAAAATAGAATGAGTCAAAAGGTCGTTAGTGGATAATATCTCTCCTCCTTTCCCCTATATCCATCATCCTTGTTTTTGTTGTGATGTTGTGACCAGACCGGACAGCTGGTCAGGCCTGCTCAACCCTCCAAAAACTGTAATCACACACACGCACACACACACACATATATACACCTGTTTCTGTTCCTCCTGGCTGAGTTTCATCACTCACTCAGAATTTGTGTTGTGAAACCCTGCTCATACATTTCTTGCTCTCTCTAGTCATCTCTCACCCCTGCCAGCTTGCACAGCAACCCACAGGGGCAGTTGCTTCACGTGGTGTAATATTTGCCCTCTTGTTAGTTTCTCAAAATAACATCAGATCACCTATAGTTTTTCCAGTCCCCCACCTTTCCTCATTCACTCCACCCACTGTCCCATGAACTCCATTTGCTGGCACTGAGCGACTGAAACATTTGACACAGTGACATCTGGACTCAAAGAAATGTACATAGACATAAACACGTTCTGGTCTCTAGTTACACAAAAAAAGCTAACATCAGTCTCTGAAAGTCATTGATGAATAAAATTATGTAATCATTTTAGCTGGAAGAATCATTTTAAAAGATAGTTGTGCAATTCTTCACAGAAATTTGAAGTATTTTCAAAAAAAGCCCAAGCCTCCAATGATGACGTAACTAAATCAGTAGTGCTAATCTTTTGCTACATGGCCAACTAAATGTGACGTTGATGTTCTTATTGCATCTGTCTTTTATTTTCATGTCCAAGTCTCCATGTGCTTTTGTAGCATAAAAAAGTCTAACCAGCTGAGACTTCCTGGAACACACCTGGCTTTATTTTGACCTACAAGAGGTGGGGCAAGTGACAACATGTTCCAACAGGGTAATATTTAGCCTGCTTTTTGTAAAAGGATCTATCTATATTATGTTCTGTGTCCCCTTGTGTGAGATTGCCTGGGCATGTAGAGGTCCTCAGGAGTGTGAGATGAGGCTTACAGGTTGTTCAGGTTGCCTTCACAGTGACCTGACCAAGCACTTTTAAGACAGAGATGTTGAGAAGCTGTCAGGTTTGCTCAGCCGCTCTGGCCTCCCTCACCTTTCCTACTGTCTCTTGCCCATTTACACTAATCACGTTCACCTGTTCCTCACTCCCTTATCACCAGCTGCACTTGATTAGGTTGCTCACTATATTACCCGGTTTCACTCCTCAGTCACTTGCCAGTTCTTTCTAGTCTCTAGGCCAACTTTACTCCGTGCGTTTTCATTGTTTTTATCCCCTAGCCAGCTACTGTTTTGTGTTC